TCCTTATCTCATACGCGGATATATTTAATCATTTGAATAGACGTGAATAACAGCAGCTGTTTTCATCATCTGCCTGACCGAGGATAGGATAGTTTTCCTGTCGAAATCGTATAACAATATATGTACACTTTTTCTTATTCCATCTGCCGTGTCCTTTCGGGACGTTGACAATCTTGTTTCTCCACAGTTTCCTCTCATTTCTAGCCTTTAATAAATTTTGCCTTTTTGTTATATCTCCTAAATCCTGTTCTGCCAGCTATTTGCAATTATTTCTTTGTTTTTATCTGCGTTGTGAGTATAAAATTTCTTCCTTTTCTCATTATGTGCCAAAGAAATTTCACCTGCTTCCTTCTGAAGTTAATAATGAATGTCCGTTTTGTGTCCATTTTCTCTAAAACATCCTGATTGCTCACATGTTCGGTTCATGGTATTCTCAGCATCCTTCTTTATAATCACGTTTCTGCTGCTTTAAATCTCTTCTTTAGAGTGGCCTGAACTTACGCCATCTTTAAGAAGCGCTCTACAGATATCTATGAGGTTTTATCTTACCTAATATAAAACCAATACAGTACAAAAGTGGAAATAGTGTTTGTTAATTCTCGTTTTATAAGAGGTACCGTTACTATATATATATATATATATATATATATATATATATATATATATATATATATATGTGTGTGTGTGTGTGTGTATGTATCATATTTATTATAAAATCCAGGTTGTGTGTGTGTGTGTGTGTGTCTGTGTGTGTGTGTGTGTGTACGTTTATATATTGGATCGGATTTCCTACATTTTTCAACCGATTTCAACAGAACTTCACAGGACTGCGTAAAAGTACTTTGCAGTGGTTCTGACAGCGCCAAAAATTGGAAAAACACAATTGTTTTTGCACGAAAGCAATTTGAAAACACGATTAATAGGCTGTCGCGAGAATGAAAGGGGGACAACTAATATCGAGTTATACTTATTAAAAAACCCAGATTGTGTGTGTGTGTGTGTGTGTGCGTGTGTGTGTGTGTGTGTGTTCGTTTATTTTATGGGATCAGATTTTCTACATTTTTCAACCGATTTCAACAAAACTTCACTTTTTTTTGGCAGTTAGTGTTTCTTATTGTCTTGTACACATTTTTCTTTATTTTTACATTCAGAATGCTTTAAAAATTCCATTTACAAGACAATTGTCTATAATAAAATTCTATTCAATCGATAGACTCATAACGATTGAAAACAATGTTTTTGTTTGAGTTTGGGTTTGACCAATTCGTAAAAAACAAAACAAAAAAAAAAATAATTAAGACATGCGTGTCCGTCAACCTTAAACAATAATCTTTGTCAATTTTATTTTTCAGTCTTTATGATGGTTGATACTTGATCTAACTCTTACTGTTACATCCCCGGGCAACGCTGGGAGCTACTGCTAGTATATATATATATATATATATATATATATATATATATATATATATATATATACACTAAAGTACAAAAGTTTGAGGATAAACCTAGTAATTTTTAAACTGGCCCCAAGAGAAGTTGTTTTGTACTTTACATCTGAGACATGATTTTTTTTTATTAGAAGTTTTATTATGACTTACAGAAAAATATTTTACGGTTAAATTTTGCTCACGTCAAAATATCCTCCTTTAGCCTTGATTAATGCAGCACAAATATTTGGTCTTCGCTGCAAATGTTTCTCAAAGTATAAGTTTGATAATTGATTCCATTTTTTTTTCAATAGCTTTAAGAATTTTTTTTTTCACTCATCGGCTAATTCTGGGAATATCTTAAAACATTTGAACTGCAATGTATATATATATATATATATATATATATATATATATATATATATATATATATGTATGTATAATAACTAATTTCCTATATTTTGCGTCACACTTTCAAATATATACTTTTGAACATCTGTCAAATGCTAAAAGAAATTAAGAATCACATGACATGGTGAGGGCAAGAGAAACAGGAAAATCTCGACTAAACTACTTGGTAATGGTAATTGTAATTTTAACCAATGGTCAGAGTAATATTAACCGTTTCTTTATAGGGAAACATTCGGTATTCATCTAAGTGCATACTGGTAAAAATCTAATAAAACAATATATATCATAATCAGAATTTATTGTCAGATTTCAAAAACGAACATACGCAGGGACAAAAACAGACGAACACATACGTGTTTGTGTGTGCGTATCTGTGTGCGTTTGCGTGTGTGTAAAATTATCAGACAATTTGGAAGATTTCGACTTTTATGTGTTTCCCCCTATGAAGTGGTGAAATCAGAAGAAAAAAAAAACTCCGGAGCGACAAATGACAAAATAGAAATTTTCCAGACTGACTTATAGATTTATTCTTCCAACAGATTCTAGACAAAACTTACCCTCCCATATATATATAGTTGACTCTCCCGTCGAATTCGACGTATAAGGGTCAAGCAGATCAGTTCCCAGGAAACCGACAGCCCGACAACAGCACATGAGATTTGATTATAGTGGTGAAGGTTTCGTGCAGGACCATCCATACTTTTTGAAGGGC